AGCTTTGGGGGTGCAGGGGGTTTGCACGCGGCTCTGGGATGCAGGGAGAGTTGGTTTCATCATGTTGGAGGAGATTTAAGGCCCAGAGAGGGACACAGACTTGCCTTAGAGCGGTGGTCGGCAAACTCATTAGCCCTCAGAGCCAAATATCAACAGGACAAGGATTGACATTTCTTTGGAGAGCCACAGTTTTTGAACGTAAACTTCTTCTCACGCCACTTCTTCAAAATAGACTCAGCCCAGGCCGTGGTGTTTTGTGGAAGAGCCACACTCCAGGGGCCAGAGAGCCGCATGTGGCTCGTGAGCCGCAGTTTGCAGAGACCACTGGCCTAGGGCGTCCAGCAAGGAAACAGCAGAGCTGGGACTCGAACCCAGGCCTCTGGCCCCCCAAGGGCTGGTGCCGTGTGACTTTCCCATGTGTGCCGGACACACGTGGGTCTCACACGTGTGCTGCCCACCCTGGCCACGTCCTGCCCTGAGAGGCCTGAGGGTCCGTTTGCTAAAACTCACCAGGTGCCAGGCTCCGAGCGCCCGGGGCTGAATCACCATCCGGATGGCCTGGGGCTGGGCACGGAGGGGATCCCTCCTCCCCACACCCGGGGCCAGCTCAGCAGTGACAATAATAATTAATAGCTATTGATTTCTGCCCGTGGCCACGCATTCTCTCATTGAAATTCGCAGCCTCGTATCCCTACCTCCCTCTTGCCCCACCTCCACCCCCCCAGCATGGCTCCTGGCTGCTAGTGTGCTCGTCGCTGGGCCTCCGTCTACCAGGGGCTCTGCCAGGGATCCCTAGGGTGCTGGCTGCCCTGGTCTTGCTGTCCTGTCCGTTGTGCGTGGGAGACGGAGGCTCGGAGAGGCTGCGCGCTGGGCCCAGGGTCACAGGGGCCGGCAGGAGGGGGACCTCCCGTCGTGGGTGCCTCTGAGGCCAGAGCCTGCCGGGCTGCTGGCCTTCCGGCCGGATGGACAGCCGGCACTGGGCGGCACACCGTCCTTCCTCCCGGGGCCTGGGGCTGGGAACTGTGCTCCGGAGGCTGCCCGACCGCGGTGTGCGTCCCAGCCCTGAACCCTGCCTTGTCCGGTGACCCTGGGCCGGTCGCGTCACCTCTCAGAGCCTCAGTTTCCCCATCTGCAGAAGGAAGGTGACAGTGGGGACTGCCTCCCAGGGGAGCTGGGTGGAGGCGGTGAGATGCTCTGGAGGAGTTGCTGAGCCCAGAAGGTGGGAGCGCCCAGCCCCCCACCCCCCTCCCTGCAGGCAGCAGGCCCCCATCCCCCACCCGTCCCTCACTGCTGGGTTGCAGGGAGCCCCAGTGGGAGAGTGAATGAATGAGTGAGTGAGTGAGTGAGTGAAGCAGCGGTGGGGGCTGGGAGCACCTGGGCGGGGCCAGACGGAGCCTGATTGACAGCTCCGGGGAGCGGCCGGTCTGCCCCCTGCTGCCTGGCCTTCTGCTGGGAGCTGCTCCCTCGGCCTCTCAGACCTCCTTCCAGAAGGCGCCCTGGTGAGTGGGGCCGCGGGTCAGGAGGGTGAGCGCTGGGGGTTTTCCGAGGGCAGGACCCCTAAGCCCCCTTTCCAAAGCCAGGAGAGCTGAGGCCCCAGGTCCCGCTTGGGGTTTGGGCCGGAGTCTGAGGCGCCGGCCTGGCCCAGGACCCCGGGGGTGGAGGCCCAGGGGGCGCCTGAGGCCTGGAGCAGGTTTGGGGAGGGGGGGTCTGTGCAGTGGAGGCACAGCCTGAGGGGCCCTCAGGAGGGGGGCAGAGTGTTAGTCGCTTTGCCCGCCCCCATCAGGAAGAGCCGGCGTGAGGGGCGGCCGGGGTCCCTGCGACTGAACCCCAGAACCTGAGGGGACGCCTCTCCTCCGGGGGCCCCTCCAGGACCAGCCAGACCCTCCCCCCCGCCCCCCGGCTCCCCGCAAGCCTCTGATCTAGCATTTAAATGTGTCTTATTACCTTTTTCTGATTAAAATGCCCTCCATGCTCCTTTAAAAAATGCAACCCTTGCCCTGGCTGGTTGGGCTCCGTGGATAGAGCGTCGGCCTGCGGACTGAAGGGTCCCGGGTTCGATTCCGGCCAGGGGCACGTGCCTTGGTGGCAGGCTCCTGGCCCTGGTCGAGGGCAGGCGGGAGGCAACCAATCCGTGTGTCTCCCTCACATCGGTGTTTCTCTCTCCCTCTCCCTCTCCCTTTCATTCTCTTTAAAAATCAAAGGGAAAAATATCATTTTCAAATAAATTATTAAAAAAAAAAAAAAAAAGCAACCATTACAGTCCAGGCTGGGAGGTCCAGTTGGTTGGAGTGTATTCTCAGACACCAAAAGGCTGCCGGTTTGATACCAAGTAGGGGCACATACTACCTAGATTGTGGGTTCGATTCTCCGGTGGCTCGGTTCCTCTCACGTCTCTCTGTCTCTCTGTCTCTCAAATCAATAAAATCAATCAATCCTCAGGGGATGGTTTAAATAAAGCAACCCTCGCAGAAATGGGAAACCCGGAAAACTGCTTCTGCATAGACCCCGCCCCACACCCCGCCTTGAAGAGGGCGCCGCGGTTAAAACGTAAAACGCTGCCCTCCACCTGTTCGTTTCCGGGCCCACATGTATGTTTACGTATGCGCAGACGTGGGCTTGCGGGCGCGGTTGTTCCGGAACGTTCTTTTTTCACGTGTATTTGAGCCAGTCCATTGCGCTCTCCGCCTTGTTTTGATTTTTGTTTGTGCCGTGACTGCATGGGAGGCGGGTGGCCGTCTGTGTCCTGGTCCCTGTGAGGGGCCCCGAGGTTGTGCCTAATTTTTCTGTTTTTCTGACCAAGCGGCCATGACGCCCTTGCCCCTGTGACTTTGCCCCGAGCGTCTCCCTCAAATAGTTGGAATTCGGGGACTCGCAGTTTCTTTCCGCCTCCAGGAAACTCTCCCACACCCCTGTCCACCCCGACCCACCCACCTGGCGCCCCCGAGTGGAGAGGGACTTGTCAGCTTCCCTCCTGTATGGTTCCTTCCTCTGCAGATGGCTGCTTCCTTTTTAATCCTCACCCCAAGATATTTCCCCATTGATTTTAGGAGCAGAGGGAGGGAGCGGGAGAGAAACATGGATGGGAGAGGAACACGTCGATCGGTTGCCTCCTGCACGAGGCTGACCAGGCCCCCGGGCCAGAGAGGAGCCTGCGACGGAGGCACGTGCCCTTCGCCGGAATCGAACCCGGGACCCTTCATTCCACAGACCTATGATCTATCCACTGAGCCAACCCAGCGAGGGCTGCAGATTGCTTCTTCTTTTAAAAAATTATATTTTATTGCTGTTTGTATTACAGAGAGAACGAGAGAGGGATAGAGAGCTAGAAACATCGATCGGCTGCCTCCTGCACACCTCCTACTGGGGATGTGCCCGCAACCAAGGCACATGCCCTTGACCGGAATCGAACCCGGGACCCGTCACTCTGCAGACCGACGCTCTATCCACTGAGCCACACCGGTCGGGGCCAGATTGCTTCTTTACGTCCCTTCCCGTGCGGAGAAGTTTCTAGATGATGGGCAGAGGGCTTGGGGCTGCTGTGGCTGGCGGGCTGGGCTTGGGCAGGGTGTGTGGGTCCCTCGTGTGATTGTTCTGGGGGGAAAAGCATGAGGGATTCTCTGCCGGGCGGGTTATTGGCCTCGGCCCCCGGGATCGTGGTGACGTGCCGGTGCGTGTAGTTACGGGGCAGCAGGCGTGACCTCCTGTGGCCTCAGGAACCGAGGGCCCCACGCCACGGGCGCCCGCACAGGAGTGGAAAGTTTTCCGCCTGGGCCTTGCCGCTGAGGGGGGCGGGGAGGCCCCTGAGCCCCCACGCTCTCCCCGTGCCCCAGCCCTCCGCCCACTCCCACACCTAAACCAAGCAGAACACCGGGACACCCCGTGAAACTGGGCTTTTAAAATATATATATATATATATATATATTTTATTAATTGTCTAGCAATATTAAGGATGTTTCTTTCCCTCTCCCTTCCCATCTGTAATCAATTAAAAAAAAAAAAGTAAACTAGTAAACATCCACTTCCAAGATTAAAACTGAACCAGGCGCCCTGGCTGGTGTGGCTCAGTGGATAGAGCGTCGGCCTGCGGACCAAAGGGTCCCGGGTTCGATTCCGGTCAAGGGCACGTCCCTCAGCTGCAGGCTCCTCCTCAGGATCCTCCCCGGGGCCCCGGCCGGGGCTCGTGCAGGAGAGAGCCCATCGATGTGTTTCTCCCAGATCGATGTTTCTCTCTGTCTCTCCCTCTCTCTCTCGCACTCTCTCTAAAAATCAACGGGGAGCCGAAATTGGTTTGGCTCCGTGGATAGAGCGTTGGCCTGCAGACTGGAAGATCCCAGGTTCGATTCCGGTCAGTGGTTGCAGGCACATCCCCGGTGGGGGTTGTGCAGGAGGCAGCTGGTCGATGTTTTTCTCTCATCGATGTTTCTAGCTTTCTATCCCTCTCTCCTCCTCTCTGTAAAAAAAAAAAAAAAGAAAGAAACTGGTGTGGCTCAGTGGATAGAGCGTCGGCCTGCGGACTGAAAGGTTGGATTCCGGTCAAGGGCATGTGCCTTGGTTGCGGGCACATCCCCAGTAGGGGGTGTGCAGGAGGCAGCTGGTCGATGATTCTCTCTCATCGATGTTTCTGACTCTATCCCTCTCTTTCTCTCTGTAAAAAATCAATAAAATATATATTTTTAAAAATCAGTAAAATATAAAAATAAAAATCAACGGGGAAAATGTCCTCAGGTGAGGATTAACGGAACAACAACAAACACACGGAACCGAGCTGCAGGAACGGCTCCTTGCCCCTCCGGCTTCTCTTCGAGTTGGCACTGCCAGCGTCTCTCTTTGCAGCCCGGTCCCCGGTTCCTCCACACGTTTGTCTCCGTCTGCCTCGTGCTGGGGGGCCGCTGAGCTGGTGATGCCCCTCCACCCGGCCAGGCCTGGGGCAGGGTGGGCACCCCCGTGGCCGGCCTCCTGACGCTTGCCCCGCTGTGTGCCCGCCCCTCCAGGTGTCTGAGATGCCGCCGCCTCAGAAGAAGCGCTGGGAGTCCATGGCCAAGGGGCTGGTGCTGGGCGCGCTCTTCACCAGCTTCCTGCTGCTGCTGTACTCGTACGCGGTCCCCCCACTGCACCCCGACCTGCCGTCCACGTGAGTGGCCCTCCCGGGCGACCCGGGGGGTGGGTGTGGGCCTGAGGGGGCACCCTCAACCATGCACGCGATGCCGAGGGCAGAACGCGCCGTGTAAGCCGGGGCCTCAGTGTCCCCATCTGTGAAATGGGTACAATCACAGAGCCTGCCTTCTGCGGCACGGGGATCTGATGCCACCGTCTGAGACTTGGATTTTTATCGCCTGAGGCTCCAACAGGGCTGGGAGGGGGGTGACTTGTCCACGAGCCCTTGGCTGGCACAAGGCCCGGATGCAAACGGGGGGGTCTGTTGGCCTCTCAGCCTGCCTCCTAACCATGAGTCTATCCCGCCTCCTTCCCCTCGGGGCTGCTCAGCTAAGCCCACATCCCCAGTGACGGGGAGGGGGGTGCAGGAGGCAGCTGATCGCTGAGTCTCTCATCGATGTTTCTAACTATCCCTCTCTGTAAAAAACCAATAAGATATATTAAAAACAACCAAAAACCGAAACAAAACAAAAAACAACAACAAAGCACTGGCCCAGGCACTGGGTCCTGGAGGAAGGCCCATCGGGGGTCCCCATCCTGGCTCCCACCGCCACCACCGTCCCCAACAACCCTGCTGCCCGGACACCGGGGCCTGAGGTCCTTTCCCCCCCCCTCCCTGACCACCCCTGAGGCTCTCCCCACCCTCTCTGTGCCCAGCAGGACCCCGGAGGGCACCCCATCCTGCTCCCCGGCCCCGGATGAGTCTGAGACGACGGCGGCGGCCACCAACGGCTCCTGGTCCGCCAACGGCTCCTCCCCGGGAGGCTGCCGGCCGCGGCGGGACATCGTGTTCATGAAGACGCACAAGACGGCCAGCAGCACGCTGCTCAACATCCTCTTCCGCTTCGGCCAGAAGCACGGGCTCAAGTTCGCCTTCCCGAGCGGCCGCAACGACTTCGCCTACCCGGCCTTCTTCGCGCGCCGCCTGGTGCAGGGCTACCGGCCGGGCGCCTGCTTCAACATCATCTGCAACCACATGCGCTTCCACTACGACGAGGTGCGCGGGCTGGTGGCGCCGGGCGCCGCCTTCATCACGGTGCTGCGCGACCCGGCGCGCCTGTTCGAGTCCTCCTTCCACTACTTCGGCTCGGTGGTGCCGTCCACGTGGCGGCGGCTGCGGGGCCGCGCGGACAAGCTGGCCGCCTTCCTGCGGGAGCCCCACCGCTACTACGACCCGCGCGGCCTCAACGCGCACTACCTGCGCAACCTGCTCTTCTTCGACCTGGGCTACGACAGCGGCCTGGACCCGCGCAGCCCGCGCGTGCAGGAGCACATCCTGGAGGTGGAGCGCCGCTTCCACCTCGTGCTGCTGCAGGAGTACTTCGACGAGTCCCTCGTGCTGCTCAAGGAGCTGCTGTGCTGGCAGCTGGAGGACGTGCTCTACTTCCGCCTCAACGCGCGCCGCGCCCCGGCCGCGCCGCGCCTCTCGGCCGAGCTCTACCGCCGCGCCACCGCCTGGAACGTGCTGGACGCGCGCCTCTACCGCCACTTCAACGCCAGCTTCTGGCGCCGCGTGGACGCCTTCGGCCGCGAGCGCATGCGCCGCGAGGTGGCCGCCCTGCGCCGCGCCAACGAGCGCATGCGCCGCATCTGCATCGACGGCGGCCGCGCCGTGGACGCCGCCGCCATCCGCGACGCCGCCCTGCAGCCCTGGCAGCCGCTCGGCGCCAAGTCCATCCTGGGCTACAACCTCAAGCAGAGCATCGGCCGGCGCCACGCGCAGCTCTGCCGCCGCATGCTCACGCCCGAGATCCAGTACCTCATGGACCTCGGCGTCAACCTGTGGGTCACCAGGCTCTGGAAGGCCGTGCGCGACTTCCTGCAGTGGTGACGTGGCGTGACGGCGTGGCGTGACGGCGTGATGGTGTGACGGTCAGGGGGGGAGGGGTGGGGGGCCCTCCTGTCTGCACGCTCCTGCTCCCCCCCCCGGGCAGGGGCCTGCTGCTGGCCTTCTCCATCCACCCCCCTCCTCCCACCCCCCAGTCCCTCCTGGTGCCACCTCGGTCCCCGGGGGAAGGGGGGGCTGCCCTGGGGATGCAGCCAGCCAGCCAGTCTGTGCCCCCAGCATCAGTATTTGACTAATTGTACCTTTTCTTTTTCTTTTCTTTTATTTAAATCCCCCCCCCCCACTTTTTTTTTTCTGTTCTACTTCCCGCCTCCCCGCCAAGGGGAGGCCTCAGAAGTAAAGGCATTTCACGTTTTGTTAAATCAGCCTCCGCGGTGGTGACTGTCGTCGGGGCTCGGGTGGGGGGAGCTGGTAAGGGCTGGGGACCCCAAGAGGGCGTGGGTGGGTGCCGGCCTGTGGGACTGTGTCTGTGGGTCAGAGGGGGCGGGGGCGCGAGGGTTTGGTGTGTTACATGCTGAAGTCCCAGGGGGTTGAAGGACTCCCATGAGCTACCGAGATCAAGGAGATTGTGTGTGTGTGTGTGTGTGTGTGTGTGTGAGTGTGAGTGTGTGTGTGTGTGTGTGTGTGTGTGTGAAATCAATAAAAACATAAAATAGAATAAATAAAATAAAATAAAGAGAAGATTCTTCAAATAAATAAAAGTGATCCCCAAGGGTCTCTGGTTGCTGGTAGCTTGCAGGAGCCAGGCTGCTCTTGCTACAGCGAGGCAGCAGGGGGCGCTGTGGTGCCGAATTTGGTCTTGGTCAGTCCTGCTATTTCTGTCCAGATGGGGGCACCACCATGACCAGCCATGGGCAGGCCTGACATGTGAAAGCCAGCGGTGGAGGAGGGGGGGGAATGGCTGTCCTCTGGGAGAAACGCAGTGGAACCACCTGTTCCTCTCCATTGTGAGTTGAATTGTAGCCCCTAAAAGATGTTGGTCCTGGCTCAGTGGGTTGAGCATCAGCCTGTGCACTGAAAGGTCCCGGGTCCAGTCAGGGTGCAACTGATAGATGTTTCTCTTTCATAGTGATGCTTCTCTCTCTCTCTCTCTCTCTCTCTCTCTCTCTCTCTCTCTCTCTCTCATCTCCACCTCCCAGGCAGCCCGGGCGGGAGGCCCCCGCTGCCCCGGCAACCGGGTCAGACACTCCCTCCCAATCCTTCTCCCAAGGTCCCCCGAGCCCAGGTCTGCGTGTTCAGAGGCGCATCCCGTGGCCTCCGTCCTGCTGGAGGTCCACGGGGGGGGGGGGGGGGGCGCCATTCAGCCAGGACGCGGGGCGGGCCAGGCAGGACGCCCGCAAAGCCTGATTGCACCCCCAAACACGGAGATGCCCTCCACCCAGCAGGCTCTGCTTCCGTCGGCAGGTTACAGGCTTGAGTGAGGACGGCAAGGAGGGCACCTGTGCCAGCGAGAGAGGCCGGCTGTTTTCAGAGCCTCTGGAAGGCGGGAGGAGGCGGGACCGCCGGGAGGGGGCAGGTGTGGCGTCAGCGTCACACCCCCTGACAACGCCCTCATTGCCGTCCAGCGCTCTCAGCCCACACCCCACGGAAGACGGGGAGCTGTCCGTCTCCCGAACCACAGGCACCCAGACGGTGAGAGCCCAGGTCCTCCACGCCCAGCGAGATCTGGGCTGGGCCCTAGCCGGTGTGGCTCAGTGGATAGAGTGTTGGCTTGTGGACTGAAGGGTCCCGGGTTCGATTCCGGGCAAGGGTGTGTACCTTGGTTGCGGGCACATCCCCAGTAGGGGGTGTGCAGGAGGCAGCTGATCGATGTTTCTAGCTCTCCATCCCTCTCCCTTCCTCTCTGTAAAAAAGTCAATAAAATGTACTTTAAAGAAAGAAAGAAATTTATTATTATTATTTTTTTAAAGAATGCTGTAGAAATTAGGTATGGTACCAGGTACTGGAGATATGGGGGGTGGGCGGGGGGAGGGTACGATACCTTGAAAAGTGTGTGGCTGTCTAACCGCTCGGCTGTGTGCACCTGGAATGAACACACAGTGATGTTGCACGTAAACGGCGATGGGAAAATAAAACTGTAAAAACATAACCAAGGGACCCGCGTGGCTCCCGTGCCCTGAGCTAATATTTACCAAGCCCTTAGGACAGGGCCTGGCCACTGAGGACCTCTCTTTGGAGGTGACTGCCGCCTGTGGCATTTCAGAAACATGGCTTCCTGCCCCTCAGGCACCGGAGAACGGTGGGGAGAGATTTCTTTCCTTGCCTGGCCCTCCTTGAATCAGCGGACTTGGATTAACATGCCAAAAGCATCTGGCAGACACACTGAGTGGTCTGATGATGATGATCTCTGAACGTATAACCATCTGGCCACTCAGTATATATATATATATGAGGCCCGGTGCACAAATTTGTGCATGGGTAGGGTCCGGCCAGCCTGGCCAGGGAGGGGGGACGTGGGTGGTTGGCCGGCCTGGCTGCTGGTCAAACTCCTGGCCGAGGGGACAATTTGCACAGTAGCCTTTTATTCTATAGGACAGACACCGAGTGGCCAGATTGTTATGCGTCATTTCCACACGGAATCAATGTAAGAAATCAAGTAATGAAATATTAAAATTGTTTGGATACCAGGTCCCCGAAATGGGGTATCTGTCTCTCACAGTGACATCTCCATTCCCACTGGTGGCAGGCCACACCCCCCAACCTCAAAGCCCAGGTTGGTGGGCGAAAGCCTACAAGACGTGATTGGCCGAAGCCGGTTTGGCTCAGTGGTAGAGCGTCGGCCTGCGGACTGAAAGGTCCCGGATTCGATTCCGGTCAAGGGCATGTACATTGGTTGGGGGCACATCCCCAACTGGCCGGTGTTTCTCTCTCATCAACGTTTCTAGCTCTTTATCTCTCTCCCTTCCTCTCTGTAAAAAATCAATAAAATATATATATTTTTAAAAAAATTTACAAAAAAAAAAACACGTGGTTGGAACCCAGGGGAGAGCAGAGGGCAGAGGCCTGGCAGCCTGGTTTCCCACGCCTCTGCCTGCCCCGCCCACCTGCTCCTCTCCCTGGGCAATGTCTGCTCGGAACAACGTGAACTTTCTCACCTGCCCCGGGGACCTTGGCTCGCCTCTCAGGTGCCATCCCCGGACATCTGTGTCAACAGCCTCCCACCTTCTGGCCTCCGAACCCCTCCATCACCCTCCCCCTTCCCCCCAACCCCCCCTCTTGCAGGCTTTTATCTGATCATGGCCACCTCTCCCCCCATCCCCCACCCCAGGCCTTGGGCTGCAGATCCTCCCCGGAACTCAGGGGGATCCACCCCCCCCCCATCTCACCCCAACAGCTCGCTGCTCTGCTGACAGAGGAAGCAATTCCCCTACCAGCCGGCGGGCACCGGTGTGCCCGGCCAGGCCAGCCCCCGGCGGCGGCAGGCACCCGGCTAATCCTCCCGGCCATCTTGAAGGCTGCAGCCCTTTGCACAGAGGACTCTCCTATCAGCGGGGGAGCACGGCCAGGGTGGAGCCTGCCTTCGGGGTCAGGGGAAGCGGGTGGGGGCCCCTTGGGGAGAAAGGCCCGGGGGCCACCTCCAGGGCTGAACCACGTTCCTAAAAGCGCCCCCCGTCTTTGCCGGGAGGGGATCCCTGAAACTGGCTGGTGTCCTTGGTGCCCCCCCATTCTCTTCCCTGCCCTGTGGGAGCCAGTGGGAGCCCCTGGGCAGAGGAGGCCTGGAGGTGGGGGCGCTGGCTGTCTCACTGACATTTGCTCCAGGGGGCGGGTTACCTCCTGGCCCTGCCAGGGTGCATCTTGGGGACGGTGATGGCAGACACCCCAGAGGGGAGGAGAAACCAGCAGAGGCGGCGGGACAGACGGGGCGGGGCGGCCGGGGCTCTCCCTTCGGGGGCGGGCCGGCATCGGACCTGAGGGCCAACAGCAGGCGCCAGGAGCACCCAGAGCGGCAGAGGCCGGCGCCCCAGGCACCATGAGCGGCCATGTCGGGGACCTGAGCCCCCAGCAGCAGGAGGCCCTGGCCAGGGTGAGCTTCTTGGGGGCCCGGGCCCAGGCCCGGGAGGCTGGTCCCCGCCCCCCCCTCCACCCAGTTGCCTGATGCCAGAGCCCCTATTGCCCGGAGGGGAAAGGGGACCCTGGAGAGCGCCCTGTCCCGCCGTGGGCACAGGACGCGGGCAGGAGCCCTTATCTGGGCCCCCCTGGGGCCCCACCCAGCTCCCACGCCTGCTGCTCCCGGGCCACGGAGCCCCCTGGCGCCTGCTCCCCGCTGGGGGTGGGGGGTGGGAAGGGGAGGGAAGGGGTGGGGCGCCCCCCCTCTGCCGCCCCCTCTGCCGTCCTGCTTCGGGCAGTTCAGGGCAGACAGACTCCCAGATGTTCTGCCCTGATTGCGACATGTTTGGCTTCTGTGACTCACCGGGGCCCACGCCGCCTCTCGAGGTTGCCATGTTCTCATGAAAGGGGGGGTGGAGGAATTGGGGTGCTCTCCCGAGAGTCCATGGGGTGTAGGCCACACCGGGGAGAGTCCTGGCTCGTCCAGGTCTGAGGGGCCACAGCAGGAATGGGGTCTGCAGGGGGCCAGAGGCTGGAAGCTGTGCCTTCCAGGGTGGAGGGGGAGGAGGGAGGGGAGAGGGGGAGGGAGGGGAGGGCACAGCCCTGGCTGGCACTGGGGCAGGGAAGAGCAGCCTCGGCTCCTCCCCTCCAAGGACCCGGGGGGCCCCTGAGGAAGGAGGGGCCGGAGTGAATTCCTTCTGGAGGAGAGATGGGTACCAGGTGAAGGATGGGGGCCCCCGGGGGGATCCCCAGGGGAAGGGGGAGGTTCCAGGAGTAGAGGGTCCCAGGTGAAGGCGGGGTCCTCGCGGGAAAGACAGCGGGTCCCCCCATGAACCCTCCCCCTCCCTTCCCCTCCCCTCTCCTCCCCTCTCCCTTCACCTCCCCCTCTCCCACTGACAATGGTCTCAGAGAAGCCAGGCCCCTAAGACCCCAGGAGGACTCCGGCTTTTGGGCGTCAACGTGAAGAGAGTATTCTTAGTGTTATCGTTACTTAAAATTAAGGGAAAAAGAGCCCAGCTGGCGGGGCTCAGTGGTTGAGCGTGGACCTGCGAACCAGGAGGTCACGGTTCGATTCCCGGTCAGGCCACATGCCTGGGTTTTGGACTCCATCCCCAGTAGGGGGTGTGCAGGAGGCAGCCGATCCATGGTTCTCTCTCACCATCGATGAGTCTGTCTCTCCCTCTCCCTCTCCCTTCCTCTCTGACATCGATGAAAACATATTTCAAATCATAGACACAGCATCAGGGGCAATGCTCCCAGGATGTTCTGGTTGGCCCGCCTCCGATTCACCAGGGATCTTTGCAGAAAGAGGAACGGCAGGGTCCCCCCTTGGACTGACAGAGGGAGGGTCTTGGGAGACAGGGATCCCCCAAGTGTGAGAAGGACACAGGTCTCCCTGCCACATGGGGCGGGAGGGGTGGGTGTACTCCGTTCCCAGGTGGCGAAATGATACAGGAGGCGGCTGCGGACTGTGCAGTCACCGGGCAGGGTCCCCGGGCAGGGTCCCCGGGCAGGGCTGGCTGGCTGATGGAGGGTGCGCGGGGTCGGGGATGGGGATGGGGATTATGGCAGCCCCCCTGACAACCATATCCACCCCCCCTCAGTTCCAGGACAACCTCCAGGACCTGCTGCCCACCTTGCCCAAGGCTGATGCCCACTTCTTCCTGCGCTGGCTGCGAGGTAAGGGCCTCGGGAGGGGGGTGGGGGACTTGGGGGCAGGGCGGTAAGGAACACAGGCTCTGAGCCCGGCCAGCGTGGCTCCGTGGTGGAGCATCGGCCTAGGAACCCGGAGGTGAGGGTGTGATTCCCGGTGAGGGCACAGGCCCGGGTTATGGGCTCGATCCCCAGTAGGGGGTGTGCAGGAGGCAGCCGATCCATGGTTCTCTCTCATCATGGATGTTTCTCTCTCTCTCTCTCTCTCTCTCTCTCTCTCTCTCTCTCTCTCTCTCTCTTCCTCTCCCTTCTTCTCTAAAATCAATAAAAATATACACTGAGCGGCCAGATTAGGATGATCTCTGAACACACAATAATCTGGCCACTAAGTGCGTGTGTGTGTGTGTGTGTGTGTGTGTGTGTGTGTGTGTGTTAGAGGCCCAGTGCATGAATTCGTGCATGGGTGGCGTCCGGCCAGCTTGGCCAGGAGGAGGGGACATGGGCAGTTAGCCGGCCTGCCTGCTGGTTGAACTCCTGGTTGAGGGGACAATTTGCATATTAGCCTTTTATTACATAGGATATACACACTTTTATTATATAAGATATATATATATTTATAGGATATGCGTTCAGAGATCATCATGAGCTGGCCACTCAGTGTGTTTAGAAAAGGAAAAAAGAACTCAGGCTCTAGAGCCAGCCCACTCTGGGCCAGAATCTGAGCTCCCCTTCCGACTGGCGTGGCACAGAACACCCCACGGAGCCTCCGTTTCCTCATCTCCCATGTGGGGCGAGGCTGCCCCCCATGGGCAGCTGTGAGTGTGACAGGAGAGGGAGGAGAGCCTGGCACCGGGTGGGCACGGGGCCGAGGTGAGGTCCCAGTCAGCACCTCCCTCGGAAGGTCCTGGGATGGCGGGCCTGGCCAGGCCTTGGGTCAGACCTCTGACCACGGTCTCGGGCACCTGCGTTTGGGCCGGTCTCCAGGCCCCTGGAGACCAGGCTGTGTGTCCCCGTAGAGAACCTGGCACCGAGCACACACACACGCCAGGACGCGGACGTAATGAGAGGCGGGGGAGTTTCTCCCAGGAATGGCTGAGCCAGGGTAACGCGGTTAGAATAACAGAAGCCACAGCGATGTCGACTCAGCACGCCCCGGGGGACGGGTTTTGAACTTGATCATCGGGGCAGAGCTGGCGGCCTTGGTGGGTTTTCTCTGAAGGGGGGGTCCTGGCCAGGGCAGAGGAGGCCTCGGGGTCTCTTGGGCCCCTTCACCTCTGACCCCGTGTCTCCCCGAAGGCCCATCCCAGGACGAATGAGCCAGCAGTCTCAGAGAAATTTCATCCAAAATCAGTAACCACCACACTGTCTGCCCGGCAGTGAGAATTGACTGTGAGCCAGGTCATGTGGCAAGCACTTTGTCTCATGCCACCCCTTGGGTAACTCTGAAAAAGGTATTATTCCTGCCCGGTCGGTGGCTCAGTGGGTCAGGGCCCCGGCCTGTGCATCAAAGGTTGTGGGTTCGATTCCCAGTCAAGGGCATGTACCTAGGTTGCAGATTTGATTGCTGGCCCTGATCAGGGTGCATGTGGTAGGCAACCAATCAATTCACCTCTCTCACATCTAGGTTTCTCTCTCTTTCTCTCTCTCTCTCTCCCCCCACCCCCTCCTTCCTGCTTTCCATTCTCTAAAAAAGCAATGCGAAAAATATCCTCAGGTGAGGGTTAACAACAACAAACATATTATTCCCATTTAATTGATTATAAAACTAAGGTAAGCTATTTGCTTAAGGTTGCACAGCAAATAAAAGGACAAAACCGGTTTGGCTCAGTGGATAGCACGTTGGCTTGGGGACTGAAGGGTCCTGGGTTCGATTCCAGTCAAGGGCATGTACCTTGGTGCAGGCACATCCCCAGTAGGGAGTGGACAAGAGGCAGCTAATCGATGATTCTCTCTCATCAATGTTTCTAACTCTATCCCTCTCTCTTCCTCTCTGTGAAAAATCAATAAAATATATTTTTTAAAAATAATAAATTATTAATAAAAAAATAAATAAAAATCACCAACTGGCCGGCACCGGTTTGGCTCAGTGGATAGAGCGTCGGCTTGCGGACTGAAAGGTCCCGGGTTCGATTCCGGTCAAGGGCATGTACCTTGGTTGTGGGCACATCCCCAGTGGTAGGTGTGTAGGAGGCAGCTGTTCGATGTTTCTCTCTCATCGATGTTTCTAACTCTCTATCCCTCTCCCTTCCTCTCTGTAAAAAGTCAGTAAAATATATTTTAAATAAATACATAAATAAATC